TTTTGATTGACTATAACAAATTAAACTATCATACAAAGAAATTGTCAAATACCTGTTAGTGACACAAGTGTTCAAAATGATAACTTCCTCCGGTTAGGGAAGGCCTCAATGTATTGGCCAAAACTTTAGTCTGATGGATAAGGCAAACAAAATGATGGAGCAATGACAAATGTTGCGCAAGAAACAAAAACGATTAAGATGGGCCTTCACCTGGTATATATTGAGACTGAAATAGAAGTGAAAAAAGCAACAATGCTACCTAGAAAATTCAACTTATGTAACAACAAGAAATGGCCTCTAGCTAACAAGTTCCAATGCCTCTAGATTTGACCTCGACCACAAATTTGCAGGAGAGGGACAACGAGACAGAGGGAGAGCAGGAGAGCGATAGAGGGGGAGGGAGACCAGGAGAGAGAGAGAGAGTGGGGGCGAGATAGAGGGAGAATAGGAGAGAGTTATAGAGTGAGAGCGAGGAGGGAGAACAGGAGAGAGGGAGAGCGAGACAGAGGGAGAACAGGAGAAAGCGAGAGCGAGAGAGACTGATAAAGGAAGAGGGTGAGGGCACAACAAAGGGAGAGCAAGACTGAGGGGGGCAAGGGAGGAGAAAATGAGAGTGTGAAAAAGGGATAGCGAGAATAGGAGAAAGTGAGCAAGAGAGACTGAGAACTGGAGACAGGGGGAGCGAGGGAGGAGAAAATGAGAGTGAGAACGATGGGTGCCATTGGGGAGGAGAATTTGCAGCTGCAAGGAAGCAGCCGAAGAGAAGAGAGCTGAGACTGTGAGAACAATGAAAGATAGTGAGAGAAGAGGGAGAGCAGCCGAAGTTCAGTCGTCGAGGGAAAAGGTGCAGGAAGAAACGTGAAGAGAGTTGAGTGTGAGAGAACAAAAGAGAGAGAATAGGGAGGGCGAGAGAGAACAATGATCGTGGGCCCTAACAGGGTCATTTTAGTCTTTGCAATTTAAGGGTAAATTTCAAAATAAAATTTTAAATAAATGTTATTGTGACATGTAATCCGAGTTGGATTGCCACCTCACAGGAAAAGAATAGGGAAAAGTGTGATGCTTACATGGCGTGGGAATCAGTCTTATAATTTTAAAAGTTGAATTTGAGAGTCATTGTAAATTCTGTATGGGCTGGCCTGGTGTTCAGATTTTTGCAATGGGCCTGCCCGTACTTTTCCCTAAAAATTAACATTTTTATATAGTAATTAAAATGGGATAACTTCTATTGAAAAAAATATCAAAAAAGGGTTGCCGCTCGTCTTCCTCCTCTGTCTCTGTGTTCACCCGCTTCAACGGTGTAGGAGGGGGTAGAGGAGGCGTTCCAATCATAGAACCTGATCCTTCTGCCCATCACTCCTCCCGCTCGTTTTCTTTTGCTCAATTGCTCCACCTCCTAAGCCTCCTTTGTTATTGTTAGAATTATTTACGGAGCTCTTCAACGTCTCTAGCAATGTCCTGTTGGATGGTACTAGAAGAATAGGAAGAGGTGGTGGAGGTGGGTCCTCTGCAGGCTGGTCTAATTTCCGCAAGGACAAGTATCAGCGTTTCCGTTTCCTACAAATCGGAAAAAAAAATCATCAGTAATGAATCAATTTTTGGTTAAGTACCTTGCCATTTGGTCTGCTTTCAAGTGACCGATGACTCAGAGGCCGAAGTGGAGAACTTTTGCTGGATGAGGACTTGGATGTCGAGCTGACCAGGCCGAGCTGGGGGCAGATTAGGTGTCGAGTTGGGCAGGTTAGGTGCTGAACTGACTGGGCTGAACCTCACGGTTGATTGGTGCCAAGCTAACTGAGCCGAGAGGGGCCCCTCGGCCCCCTATTTATAGTTCACCGCGAGGCGATCAACGGTTGAGACCTGCTCGATCCAACGGCTCTCAAGAAAACCGATTGCACGACACCCAAGGATGAAATTTGAGTCCATAAATAGCGTGATGTCCGCGCATACACCTGACGTGACCTGGGTCATTACTGGTTGAGCCAGAGGTCCGACCAAAAGATTCATCCGACAAACTGCCTAGACCTCGTGCCAAATCCACCTGGACTCATCATGAACTCCCCGCACTTGGTCGAAACCCCTGGCTCAAGGAGTGGGGGGCAATTGATGAAGGGTGATTTGGCCTGGCCTAGTAAAAAGGGGACACATGAACACGACCTGGCTAAGAGATGACAACTCAGCCTGACATACCTAGTTTGCAACAAATGAGCTCGGATATTCAACCACCTCGGCACAGGGTCACCTCGGGACAAGGTCACCTCGGCCCCAAGGCACTTCGGCATTCAATCCAGTTCGAAAACTAAAAAGTATCAGCTCGGGGATACCGACCCGGACCACTACGTAACAATCCCGGAAATATCTCCAACAGACCCCGAACCTCGCGGGGTCACGCCGCGTAACGGTAAGCCTTATCTCCTCCCCGCCCAGTTCGGGCAGAATTGATAAGTTTTATTAGTTGATAGCGTTATCCCCCAATTAAAGCGGAAATGGATCTCATCGTGACGAAGATCATAGAACCGATCCGCAAGACCCGTGAGGACTCAACTATATAAAGGCTCCAACCCCGAGGGCACAAGGTACGCGTGATTTTTTTGCTCTCTAGCTCTCTAGCTCTCTACACTCTCAAAGCTCTTAAGCTCGCATCATATTACTAACTTAAGCATCGAAGCGACCTCGCCGGGTTAGCCACCCCGGGTTCTCTGATCTTGTCTTGCAGATTCACCTAGTTCGCCGTCCGACTGGAAGCCAGATCACCCTCCGGCAGGGAGCAATCAGATCATGCTACATCAATCAGCAACTGCAATGTGGTTTTCCGGCTAATTAAGCAGTTTTCTGGCTCAATCTGTAAATTATTTGTCTTTTTTGCGTAAACCTCATTCAGGCATTATCATATTGTTCAAAGTAGAGGAGGAAGATGACCAACAATGTCGATTGCCCTTTCAAACAAGGGCAGTGCCACTTTTGATCGTCTTCCTCTGCCTTTGTATAAGTCCTTTGGCGATGGCCTACCACCCTACAAACCAAAACTGTGTAAATCCTCTTCCCCGACAGTCGTGTACCTGATGCAAAGGAAGACGATTATAAACTTCAGGCAACCAAGAAACAGGGCTTGGGAAACAAATTCGAGATAAGAAAACAAGAAAATCAATCATTTCAATCAAGCCCCAACTCTAAAGAACTGCACATCTCAACTTCCATTAACGTGGAAATACCCATCCGTTGAGGCTATACTATACTACACACCCCACTCTATCTTGCGCACCTGAAGAAGAAACCCAGAATACATCGATTGATGTGAACCCAATAGAACTACCGATGTTGGAGAAAGTATCGACATACACAGTCTTCCCAATTGGATTCGTTGCAATTCCCGCAACGACAAGTATCAGCGTACCATGATTATCTGCATCTGAATTCAAATCGGACGGTCAGATCATCGACTCAAAAACCAATGGTCAAAACGGTTCCGTTTCTGGGTCATTTTTTAAAATGTTAGGTGAACCTAAAATTTAAGATTATCTTCCTCTGCATCTGTACACGATTGTCTAATAAAATGATTTAGACAGTTTTGATTGGTAGGATGGTAAACCATCGCTGGAGGACTCACACAAAGGTAGAGAAAGACGATCAACAGTAACACTGCCTTTGTTTGATATTTTTCTAAAAAGAATACCGCATTTTAGTTATTATATAAAAATAATATTTTTTTATTGATATTAAGGGCAAAAAATCTGTTATTATCCCTATCTATTACATTCATATGACCGGAAGCAGTCAGACACGATTCTGTAAGTGAAGTAATTATCGCCGTCAGACATGATTCTGTAACTAAAATGATTATCACCGTCGGTTCAAGTATTTCACTTTCGGCAATCAAACTTCTACATATGTAATTGGTTTCGGCCATTTCTTCACTCCTACTTCCCTATTTCCTTCATTTGGTCATTGTGCTTCATTGTTACCAGACATTCCTACTAGAAGGTGTGGATGTTGAGTTGTTCTTTGAATGTGGTGATCTTTCATTTATTATTCATTGGATTCTCTTTACATGCTGCTGCTGATCGAATTGATACGTTAAGAGCAAAAGATTCGATCCTGACGTAGAAACTGTCTAGTGTGAACTCTTTCTCCAAATAGCTTATCTTAATAAATTAGTTTTTCATTAGCTTTATCAAATTTTTATTAATTTAAGAATATTTGTTCCACTTTATTTTTTAAAATTTTTTATAAACGCACATTTAACTAATCTTATTTCCACTATATCTTATCGAAATGTTGCCTGTGCTTGCCGCTAGTTTTCTTATAGTTTTCTATTAAGAAGATACCTCTTCTAGACAAATGTATCTCACCCTCCAGAAAAAGAAAAGAAAAAACTTCATATATTGACCCTTGGCTGTTCCTTTTGTATTAGGGTTCGACTATGATATGGAAAAGATACAATATCTAAAAAAATAAGTGACCAATAAACCGGAATCATAAACTTGATAGTGAACATAGTATTATTTATCAAAATTAATAAATGGGTTTTAATTGGTCGAAACTCTTTTCATACCATATCTTTTCTGCATCATAAATTTTTCCTTTGTATTAGCGTACTAACACCATCCAATCTTGAATATTTTTTGAAGAATAAGATCCACTTCGAGGTTTGGTCTATACGAGCTTAGAGCTCGTCTTAAAAGTTAAAACTACTCTTTCAGCCACACAGCATATACATACACACAACCTAAGGCTCCTACTTCTATCCTGGTTTATACTTAATGGAGATAAAACACTTTAAAATTCTTACAAATCCTACAGGATTAGTCTAAATACAACCTACATAATTCATATATTTACTTACCAATTTAATCTAATTAATTATATCTAACAATTTGATGTGATCCTTAGTGTTCTGATTTTTAACTGTGGGGCTTTGTCATGCCAGCTGATGAAAATCTATAGGGAGAAAAACTGTCCCATGGCTAAAAGACATCAGAAACAAAAGCAAATGAAAGGTGGAAAGCTAAAAATTGCAAGTACATTTCATTGTTTTATTTCCCTGTAAGAACCAATCAAATGAGATGATACACGGTAACTGGAATGAACCCATTACTTCCAAAAAGAAACAATATTAATATCCCAAACAATTCCCCCTCCCCCTCAATGCCTGGTCAACTTGTCCCAATCAAATAAATAGATTGATATTTGATACATCATACATACATGAACCTGAAAATGTGGAATGTGGAGTTAAAAGGCTTGTCTCAAACAACCCCCTCTATATCTAATCCATCCTCTTCATCTACAGTTAAATCTATTTTTGATCAATCTACACTCGGGATATACACATTCCGCAGCTGTATAACGAGAGCCCCAGCTCCAGGAGATTCAATAGAAAAGCGAAGGAAAAATGCAAACAAGGTGCCATTGCTTCCAAAAGAATTAATCTGTCCCACAAGTCTACCAACTAAATCTGAGATCCATTGACACCGGACATTTCTTTCTGACATAAGCAATCCGGCAGAGGGTTCACATAAAATGATTCTTCCGATCGAAATCTGTCCATGCCCCTCGTTCCCGAGATGGGGCCTTTCCTTCGACGTGGGGACCCCTGCCTGTCCACAACATATATGACAGTTATATCCAAAAACTCCACATGAAGGAAATATTTACAACAAATTTAAGACACCTACCACACACAAGTAGCATGTCCATTTAGGCTGTGTTTGGTTTGAAGGAAAAAGTAAGGAAAGGAAACCTTTACAAACCTTGTATAGGTTTTCATACCTTTCCCTTCAAACCAAACATAGCCTTAATGGATGCGATCAAGAAATACCTATGTCATTAACTATACAAGTTATTATTGCATTCTATTGGACAGTTCAGGGTAAAATGGTTATAAAATAAGGATAGAAAAGGAGACATCCATCTACTGGAGTAGAGATCATCCATTCAAGTTGACTTTTGGCCTAACAATTCTCAGTTGGAACCACAGACAGGAAGCAATGTAAGCTCTTGCTTGATGAACTCATGGACTAAAACATCTTAAATTCAAAAATTTGCCTTCATTCAATCATTTATAACTGAAAAACAGAGTAGCTTTAGTATCCATGTACCGTCTTCTGTGGATTTCAACTATTCGATCAGAAAGACCTTTTCCTTCTTTTAGTGATCCCCTTTCAACTTTATCAAATAGACGGACAAGTGCTTTCCTGGAAAAGGAAGAGAAACAGAAACAATTTAATAAAATACCATTAAAGGACAAGGATTATTCATGGCAGCAGAGAAGATGCCTTGCCTGTCAGGAGAAATTGTTTTCCTGTGCCCCAGAAAACGACGGTGACCTTCAACTGCCCTTGCCATGTTCCCAGAGTAGGAAGGGATAAAGACATCACTTTCAACTGATACTATATAATCTAGTGCAGCCATCTGAGATGCATGACCCATAAAAGGTTCAAGCTCATCCACTGATGCTAAATTCTCCTGTCAAAATATTTATGAGAAGTGAGCAAATATCCTTGCCATCAAAATCAACCATTAGATCTAAAAATTTGATTGCTAAACATTGCTAAACATTTCTTTCCCCCATTAACAGAATATTCAATAGGTCAATAAATCATTTTCTTAACTTGGGGAGGAAAAAAAAAACAAAAGGTGGTGATGTATATGGGTGTCACTAAATTTGGAATAAGATAATCAACCCCCTTTTCAAATGCCTTGAGGAAGATTATAAGACAATGTTTTAAAAACCGACCCGGAGGCTAAACCGTTTGTCTCCGGGTCATGGGTCACCGGTTCAACCATCCAGATCGAACAGGTCAGACCATGCCACATCAGCATCTATGTATTTAAGGTATATATATTTAGGGAAAATTCCCGATTAGTACCCTGTACTTTGTGACTAGTGCCACTTTGGTCCCCGAACTTTAAAATGCGACAATTCAGTCCCAAAACCTTGCTTTTTCCATTCAAGAAAGTTGGGGTTACATTTGAGTGGGTATTTTGGTAACCCCAAGTTTCTTGAATAGAAGAGGCAGGGATTTGGGACTATTAATTTTTTTGTCAATGTTTGGATAGTTGATAAAGAAAATTAGATGACACTCGAAGGGCATTTGTCTTTTTAAAGTGTCACTTAACGGCTGATTAACAGCTAGTTAACGGCAGGTACTGGATTGTCATGTTTTGAAAGTTAGGGTACTGAATTGTCGCATTTTAAAGTTTGGGGACCAAAGTGACACTAAAGCCAAAGTACAGGTACTAATCGGGAATTTTCCCATATATTTATATACATACATATATATGTGTGTGTGTGTACAAATACATATTTTATCAATAAATAATGTATAATTATGTTTTAGATATGTTATATGTATTCTTTTATATTTAATTTATGTTTTTTAAATTAATTTTTTGTTTATAAAAATATTAAAAATTGCGATTTGAGGCCAAAAAGGGGGTTTTTTCGCAAAAATAGCAGGGCAAGGTGCCATGCATAGATCTCGAAAGAAAAACATTTTCCGCAGCCAATTACATGCAAACAAACAATGCCTCTGTCTCCAAAGAAAAACTTTTTCTCAAAACATATGATCTGCAGGTTGGATCAGAATTATCCCACCGGATCAATATCATTGAATTGTTTGTCAAAGACCCATTGGCCTTGGTTCCGAGGATTATGTGCCTCACAAACAAGTCACTCACTTTCATTGACTTCACTACTGAAACCTTTTCATCCAGGCTTGGGACTGACAATGTAAGACAAAGTTTCACCTAAATGGAAAATTTCTGTGATAAGACTTTGTCAAGGAAAGAAGGAGATAAAGCCACCATACTGAGATCTTTGACATCCCTTTTTTCCCTTGCAGTTATCAGAATGGACTGCAGAAAATTTAAACACCATTGCAAAACCTACATCAACATGCCTCTTCCAACTGTGGGTACAGTGATTTCCAATTAAATTCTCTTTCTTCTATAGGAAACGTTACACATTTAAAATACAAGACAGAGAATATCATTACGCACAGAATATCATGCAAGAAAAGATTATTGCATGCTCATCCCCTCCGGATGCCCCTTGTGATTTAATATATAATGCAAGGTACATTTAAAAAGTATTTATCAAAAAAAAAGTTACATTTAAAAAGTCCTTGTCCTTGGAAATATGAGGATAAAGGTTATTAAAAAATCTCCAACAAAACTAATGGTTTACAATTGGAGATATAATAAAGGGAAAGAAATTCCGAGGTTTGTTTTTATTAATGCAATATACCATGAGATTTCCATAAATGAAAATTCTAGTTTAGATCAAAAGGCTAAAACAGTAAAATCTTCATGCCCATTAACAAAATCATGATTTCACGAAATTGTTTCCCCATAACAAAACCGAACATCAAATTCAGCAGTTCATACACCTACTACCACCACGCAGACTCAAAGAAACGTTAATCAAAAAGATTTAACTGCTCCATATGTTTTTATCACATGAGCCTCTACCACTATCAAGAACTGACAATTGACAAAAATTAATTTCTGTGGCTCCTAGTTGCATAAATTAAATGATATAAAGTCTCCTGCTAGTTATTTTGTATTTTCCAGTTCTAGCCATTTACATGGAACAGAAGCATGAATGATCTGCAAAACTCCCTATTCATGTTTTGGGTGTTTAAAAAACACAAAGCACAATGCCCATGTGCTGCCATGGTTTGAGATCCTCCCCCAACCAACCCCAAGGTCATCAGAATGGAAGATGAGAAGATTACATACCAATTAGGATCCAAAATTTGCAGTATTGAAGTACACCAGCATCACAATAACTTAGCTAGAAAAAGTTAAAAACATTAACCAATATAGAGAAGCACCATTTGAAACTCCATACCTTACTCATTAATATTGGAAAGCGGGATCGAAGCTCAGAAATTTGATTATCACCACCATATATCTCCCCTGCAGCAATATATATGGGTGTATTGGAAGGGTATCCTAAAGCAGTTATGAACATTGCAACCTCCTTTGGAGTTAACGGACAAAGTCCCCTTGCCCTCTGTTCAATTGGATCTATATCCTTCACTTTCCAATATGCAGTATTCTCTCTACAAGAGTAATATAATAATAATTATGAGTTACCTTTTCTTGAAAAAAACAATTATGGAAGAAAAAATAACAGGTTTAAGATCAGTGCAAGACAGGGGAACATTTTAAAAAAGGAATGCTTCTCAAAAGAATATATAAGTAATTGACTTTCAGTAAAGCTCCCCAAGAAAACCTCATACCTAATGGTGGCTAATTCCTCTGCTTCTACAGGAGACAAACCATGTGTGCATCCACTAAAAGCAAGCATGTCCTTCTCATAACGCAAATGTAAAGCAATAAAACGACCATAGGACCTCATCCTCTCCACCAACAACTGCAAAGTAGTACATTAAAAAATCATATCATTGCACCAATCGCAGCAAAGGTGCTGACAATAAAAGAAACAAATGAATATCATAGTTTAAGCATTTACTTTTCCCATGGCCTCAATGCGAGGGGCAAAACGAAGAGCCTGATAACATGCACGGCAACGTAGCTTCTGAATGTCTGGGGGAAGATTATTATTTGCTAGGCGAGAGTCAGATTTAGCTGCCCGAATGACCTAGAAAAGATGAATTGAATAAGAAGACGAGGCCACAAGTATGGATCAAGTTGGTCTGGTGTCTGGAGTCTGGACAAGTATATGAACAAGAAATACCTGATACTCTTCCCACATGTGAGCTATCTCATCCTGGTAGTAGTCTATACCTGACCAGCTTCTTAAGTGTTTAACGGCTCGAGTAGCAGTTGCCAGGTCTTTCGGGAGTTTTCTGACTACTTTAACATCATTAACCAGCACACTTATAAAATGATTCTCATCAAAGACATCAGAGAAGTTGCTGACATTTAAACAAGTCCTTTAACTTGTTAGTTATGTAGTACTTTGGGAAAAAAAAAAGAATATAGATCAATATGAGAATCCCCACCTAGAATCTTGCCAAAATGAACGCTTATCAAGTTCTGGAATAACAAGAGTGGCATTTATGATACGAGCCACAGCCACCATGTCACAAATCTGCAGCTCAAAATGAAAACTTTTTTCAGCTAAGGACAGTGGCTTATATACTGATAAATACATAATGCACTACCATCAAAATTCTTGCATATTCAGGTATATGTGTAATTTCCTATAAAATGGTAATTACATAATAATGGCCCCTGATAGATGGTATAGTGAAGCAGATGTAGTGGTGTAAACTGTATTTGCTCTGCTAGTTTACATTTTGGGATTGCTAACCAAGGCTAGCAACTCCATTGGATTTATACACATTTATGTATCCTCTAAATTATATATATATATATATATATAATTTATCAAAAAAAAAATTATATATGTGTGTGTGTAAAACAGGATTTAATGGTTTATGTAGACTACCCCATATAATTTGGATCAGGCTTCATCAAGTCAAGTTTCTCATTCTAATCTAGTTTTTATTTTATTTCTTTTTCTTGATCACTTTCCTTTCTCTCTAACATAGACATGGAGCCTTTAGGAGAACAAGCCGTAAACTTCAAACAAACCATTGACTTGAAACTTCTCATGATGGCAATAGATATAGTGCACCAAATCCTTATATTAGGATTTTAACATCCATAAATCCAAGATAAAAGATAGCAGTACAACAGTTTGTAGCCAACATATATAACTACAGAGGCTTGGTGTCTCCTAAAATAGCCAAGATGAGAAATTTCAGCACCACAATGTCAGGCTTGACGTCTCCTGGCTGGGCTGCATCATCTTCCTAATAAATAAATGTATTAGGCCTTTACCACATATCAATGGTACGACTACCAAATCCATTGATAAATCTTTAAACCAAAACAAGATTTAACATTTCATTTGACAACTTTTAGGGATATAAGCATAAGTATATGCATCTGAGGAGGATTGACTTAATTATGTGTTGTAGGTGTCTGACTGACTGACTAGAAAATCCACAAGGCAAACGCTATTTTTTTGAAGAAACATAATCTTTATATATTTATCAATAATATAGTAAATTACATATTATGTAATATTTTTTGTATTTAGTGAATTAGAGACCAGTGCAAAATTGTTATATATGCATCTATAGCCAATTGCTTTGCCCCTTTTTATTACAGATAATCTGAATGGTAGTATTGTTATTATTTCCAGTACCATATATTTACAGGTTGACCTTAAGCTAATTGTTATAATTTATAAACATTTCTAGCATAAACTGACATGTAATTTGTTTTCAACAACACAGAGAAAAGACAATTAGAACTGCAACATGGATTTAATTTCCTAGTTGATAATTGGGAAGTTGATCCAACTTCATTAACATGCAAAGCAGTTATGAACCCATACTCCAAGTTGTCAAAACATCAACAACAAAGATTCTAATTTCTCATTAATGAATCCAATGATAATTGCCCCACTTTATTTTCTTGAAAGGCAGCTCAACAACTAACATCATGGTTCTCTTCTTCAGACTAGAATTTAATTTAGACATGATGAGAGGTAGCACATCAAAAGGGACACAAGCCTGAGTCTTACCAAAATGAAGAAAATTTTAACCAGACAGCAAACAAGAGCAGTAGCCAGTAACAATATTAGACTTCAATAGTCCTCATCTATTCATTGAAATATTACATCAACCATTTCATGCTTCTAAAGGCATAGGAAATGCATAGATTTTTCTTTCTGATAAACATGTACAACTATGACATGCTAAGTTATTTCTTTTCCATTTAACCTTTCCTAACAAATACCCTTGAATGAGAAATGGACTATAACTTTATGAGCAAGATCAGGTTCATGGGAATCTTGATTACAACAGAACCTTTTAACAGATTCTACCAAAAAAAAACAGAACCTTCTAACAGAAGACAGAGAGAATCATACTAACCCCAGCCCGCATCTGGTTGAGTCCACCATTGGTATGAACAAGCAGGTAACCACGTGACTCTGCAGGAGCTGATAAAAATATGTATTTGGTAAGAGAAATATGTGTTTAACGATTGCACATTAAAATAAAAGCAACCCAAAATATATTTGCCTAATTGCCTCACATGAATATGATGGACCAGGCTCAATGCAGGGTACAAAGTCGCGAGGGCGAGGAGGCTTCCACAACTTGTCGAGATCCAAAATCTCCCTCGCACCATTCAACTGTCAAGTCTAAGGGAGTGAAAACATGAAAGATGCATGACTACTCTGTATTAACAAAAATATTCTAAATAAAAGGTACTTGGTCCCTATAGGATACGGGATGGATTAACTACTGCCACAATCAATGTGGGTTGAAACTTTTTGCAGAAAATAAACAAGTATATACGCATTAAAAATAACTTGGACAAGTATAAATCAACTGAAAAGACTAATGAAAACACGAAAACCTTATGTAAAGGAGGAGGAACTTTGGACAATTGTGGCGGAGAGAACTCTTGTGTCCAGCTTAATTCATTTTTCAACCTATGGTACCCGACTTCATGTTGCTGCGATATGAACAACCCCAGATCAGAATACAATCTCATCTCGTAGTCCAAACAGTAACACTGCTGAACTATTAATTATTTGAAAAATAACTTGACAAGAAAAAAAAAAGCAAAAGACATGATTTTAAAGAAATGATAGAGAAGATAAAAAATTAAAAAAGAAAAAAGAGCAGAAATTCTTCATTATCAAGATAATCAAAAAGAACAAAATTATGTAAGCTGATCCTTGGCGAACACCTCTAATCCACCATTAAACGAAAAGGAAAGAAAAACAAATTAATAATAGAAGGAATAGCAAAGTGAGATAGAGATCAAAAGGCTGATCTTCTCGGAAACTAAAGTGAGGAGACACAAAAATAGTGTGCCTGATAAATCAAAACGTAAGAAACCACAGAAATTGCGAAGAAACTGAAAGCCCTAACCGGCACTGTGAGAAATGGAACGGGAAGTGCTCAAACAAACAAAGAAAAGAAAAAAGGGGACAGAGAGAAGATGAAATACTCTAGAAGAGAAAGACGAGGGAGGAGAAAAGAAGTTCAGGAATATTGGAGTGAGTACTCACCGTGGGGAGCTTGTAAGAATCGGAAATGGTTCGGAGCTTGGAAGAAGGAAAGACGTGTACGTGTACAGAGAATAGAGCCACTAGAGCTATAGCGCATATTGCCACCATCAACACCATCCGCAGCAGTACCAAGGGCCTATTCTTCCGTTTATGCATCTCTCTCTCTCTCTCTCTCTCTCTCTCTCTCTCTCTCTCTCGTTAAAGCTAAGCAACGGAACAAGCACAGACAACAATTAGCAGAAGCTCCTCTATTCCTCAAGGATTTTAATGCCGAGTGAAGAGTAACGCGGAGAAGTGGGGTTTTGTGAGCTTCTTTCCAGCTTCTTCTACTCCTTACTGTTCCAGTTTTTATTAGTTCCAGCTTTTGCTTTGCTTTTTCTTTATTTATTGTTAATAACAAAAAAAGAAGGGTTAACGGTGACTCTGTAACTAGAAAAATAAAAGAATAGGGAAAAACCATTTATATGTATCTATTAATTTTATAATAAAAAAAAAGTTAAAAGAGAAAAAAAAAAAAAAAAAAAAACGAGAGGGAACGAGAGTAGTAGAACTGTAGAAGGAGAGAGGCTGGCTCGAAAACGATCGAACTCGAAACGTAAATGCAAATGCACTGCTATCGATTTCTTCCAAGCTCCAATTAAATTAGCGTGTTTAAACTTTAAACCATGAGCGCCCAACCCCACCTTGATTCATTAGCCATCACTTTCATTAAACAGAAAACGTCACAATCTTCCGGCTGTACAAAATTTGGAGCCAATAGGGTAAGGCGCTCCTGGTTTTATTCATCAATCGATCTATACTATATTTCTCTGTGTTCCGTAACTTCTTACAATAATTTATTTACTTCCAATTCTCATCAATGGCCCCAATATAGAAATTGGAAAGATAAATAAAAGATTGTTTGATTAGATTAAAAAACGAAAAGTGATGTTGAGATGGGTTTTACTTTTTTCCTTTTCTTTAATTCTTAAGATAAGACACCACTTCTGCACTCCACGTTATTTCTAGTAGCAGTATTTCCTTTAATCGATACAAATACTTGTGCTTCTGTAGGCTGGGCTGTAGTTCTGTGGTCGATGAATTTTCTTGAAATGAGGCTAGTAAGTGGATGTGAATGTGATGGGCATCCATGTCCAGGGTTTGATCAATTTTCTGAACTACTTTTCTTTCTTTCATCATTTACCCTTTTAATTCAAATCCTGAACCTGAACTAATTGATCAACCCATGTCACGTGGCTTTCCGAGCATCTGATTGGAATAAACAAATAATGGGATCTTCTTCCTCGCAACGTATCTTCAATTCTTAATTGACAAGGAATTTGTATTAAACTAATCCTTGTTAACAGAAGGAACGTGAATTGCACAAGACAAAAGACAAAGGATTAAGGTAGTGCAGACAGAAGTTTTGTTAGTTGTTAACAAATTGGAGAAAAAAAAAAGCATCCATGTCTATTTTCCTGCTGTTCACACAAGATCTAGCTAAAGCAAAGCTCATTAAGACGCCCCAGTGCCGGTGGTGGGGCAAGTGTATTAATCAAAATCTTGCTTCATACAATTGTCTTGTATCATTGCTTTGGTTGCTAATTACATCATCTTATCCTGCAAAAAACGATATTGGCATCAAGTAGATAACCATATCAAATCATCAAGGGACGGAAGATTCACAACAACAGAAAAGGAGAAATTTTTAACTTGAATATCGCAAAATTCTCTTGATTTTTTTTTTTTTTTTGAGGGATGGGATGAGATCCGATCCTACCCGACCCATTTTACATTGATACTTTACATCCGGTAGCAAAACAAGAATAAATAAAAATAATTAGGGCAGAATGTAAACAATGGGCTACTTCAGATTTCAGTACAAGATAAGGGAATGTCCACTCTGTTATATGGCTCGTCTGGTATTCTGTACGGGGCCCAGAATCCCTCCCCCTCTATCTAATCCGAATTCCTCTATTAGCTGTAATATGTATGTCGATTAAACATTAGAGATGGACCAGATGGTGCGATCCCGTGGACGTGGAGGTCCCACATGTTGTTGCAGCACACTTGGCCAACCGACCGATACTCGACGCTCCACATCCTACGTTCCTCAATGTAACTGTGTAACGTTCAAAAAAAAAAGGAAAAACGAAGCAATTCTTATCGGCTTGCTTTTCAAGATAAAGGTAGGTGACAGGAGATGAGATCGTACTCTTGTAGTGATCAATAGTTAAGCCATTTAATTCTGATCACGCCTTTCGAAATTTGACACGCGGCATTAGATCCTAACATCGCCTTATTCTTCCCTTGACCTGGAGAACAACAGTTCCCTTCCCGCCTCGCCTTCGGCCTTTGGCGGTTTGTTGTTTGGCTTTGGCATTCTCCGATKTCCGAATTCCGAGCACCGATGTGCTTACAAAACAAAACAAAGGAATGCACGTGCAACGTTGGCAATCTCGAGTAGAGAGTAGAGACTTGATCAATCGGAACAAGAACCCGTATGATGCACGACACGTTGATTTGCTTCGGATGGAAAATATTCAATCAGCATCAATTGTGATTAGTGCTATTCATTCAATCACAATCAGTGAAAGTGTGAAACCATGCATCAATAAGGCAATGGACAGTGATCTTAACAGAACTTAACGAACCGGTTACCGATTACCGGGTTCCTTTGCTGGATCTCCAATGGAAATAAATATTGACGGTCTCCTTTGAATTTGAAGGGTGTGATTGTGAAATATAAACGACATACGGTATTTATGCAGCAATCTGTCCAAGGTGAATTTTTATTGGGGAGATTCAGCCATGGATCATGGATCAGCCCGTTGATTGATAGGTAACCAGTAGATAGAAAGTGAGACCATAAGCCTAAACGCCGTGAAAAAAAAAGGAAGATGAATGGGAGTATCAGTAAAAGCTGGAGACAGGCTACATTTACTTGATTCGCCACCATCACCAAGCTGTTTTTGTCGGTGATAGGCTGGTAGCAGCTCCCGCCTCCCAGAGTCCAAAGTCCAAACTTTGGGTTTTTGTTTTGCTCCTTGGCTTGTTGCTTGATAATCCCACGTCAACAACGAGTTTACCGCCCAAAAGTTTGTTAATCTGGACGAGTATGGAAATGCGACTAACCCTTTTTATTTTGCCACGTGGAGGGATTTTGTTGCCACCGCCACCCTCTCATCTAATTTGGAGCTCTCTGGATCAGGGTCATCAGACACTTCAATCCCACTGTTTACTGACATTAGCCATGTAGCCGCACATCGTTTCAAATATAAAGTACCCACATAAAGGGGGGTTAACATTGACTGTTCGAGCCCAACAGTATACGCTGTTGAGACAGTATTCACCCCATGGTTTTTAGTAAAAATAATTTACATGATAACGTGGCATTTTTAGAGATTCTCTTCACAGTATAGGCTGTTGGCCCCCAACAGCTAACCCAAAGTTTTTCCCATAAAAGGATTCTTTTGGACGAAAGTGCCAATAATAATCAACCACGTCGCTGTTTTTTGATTAAAATTAAGGGAGTCCAGACCTTAACGACCGTCTAGACTCCAAAACTTATTCATTTTGGTTTAATTTAATCGCCCTTTTTGGCATCCCACTTTCCAAGTTTTTCTTCATTTTCGTTCTGCTTTCTCTCTCCCTCACATTCAAAGTTCGCCTACATCAACATCATCGCATATCGCCATTGCAATCGAGCCATCGTCATTCGTCAGCGGAAACAACCAGTCTTTCTTGACCACCGCTCATTCCCCTCACCGGAGATCACCGGCTTCTTTTCATTATTCTTTCATCATTGGGATTGGTTTTTGCGGATTGTAATGATTGGAGGATCTAGGCGGAGGAGACCACGGAAGAAGAGCTTACGGAAATGACAGGCGACTGTGACGATGATGAAGAGGAGGAAGATGGGGATAGGTGGAGGTATGGCCAATTCTGTGTATTCTGTTCTAAACTAAACATCATAAGAAGGAAGGCCATACATAATCCCAATTGCTCCTGCTATACCTCGGCTTCTCTTTAATTTCAAATTTTCAAATCTTGGAGTTTTGAGCTTCACTTTATTTTTTTGATTTGTGTGTATACAAGACACCATATAATATGCATGTCAATACAAAATTCAAGACCCTATGAAAGAGGGTAGCGAAACAGATGCCATTTTGAATTCATTAGCTTCTGCAATTTATTCTTCAAATAATACAAGCTCTATTGTCTATTCTGCATGATTTAAAAACCTGGTATATTTGTTGTTGTTGGCATATTGCAGTTTGCGGATCAAACATGGGATAGGGAAACAAATTCTCGATTAGTTAGATAAGTAACCAATTCAAAAAATCCAGCTTAACATTTTGTCATTCAGTAAAAAAACACACTCTGCAATGTTTTGTCCTGTTAAGGATTCACGATATCAAGATTACCTAGTGGCACTATAAAGATAAAAAATCAATTGATACACAATGTCACTAACAATTTTTCGTGGATTTAAGTATTGTAAAGAAATGCAATTGATCCACCGATCCGTTGTGCTTGCAACTCATATCTCAGAGAGAGAGAGAGTCATGTAACTTTCTTCATCTATAAAAAGAGGTCATATACGGAAGATTCTTGTGTCTATAAATCATTTAATTTACGAAGAATTTTAGAAGAAAAAAACAACTTTACAGTGCAAGATTTATCCAGAAGAAGATAGAGGGAAAAAAAAGGAAGAAATTTCGAAAAAAAAAATATGAAACAACTTTAAGCAAAAATAAGCACTGCTGAAATGAGTGTCGGCGGTGAGCGATGGAAAGATTCTGAAAGCTTGCAGCGGACGAACTCTTGTAGCTCGGCTCGCAAAGGCAGTGTTCTCCTATGATGATCTACGGCAAGGGGAATGAATGGTGGTCGAGAAAGACTCCGGCTGTTGCCACAAACAAATGATGGTTGCTTGATTCAATGGTAGTGTGCGATGATGTTCGTGTGGGTGAACTTTGGTTGTGAGGGAGAGGGAGAGAAAGTAGAACGAAAATGGAGAAGAGAAACTTGTAAAGTAGGATCCCAACAGGGTGGTTAAAACAAAATTGATAAGTTTTGGAGTCCAGACTGCCATTAAGGTCTGGACTCCGTTAATTTTGAAATTTACAAAAAAGAGAGTCGTGGTTGAAAATATGGGGGACAGGCGATGTAAACGCCCTTATTAACGAGTTCGGATCGAAATTTTCTCTCCCATCCAATAAAATACTGTCACGACACCTAGTTGTCTAAAACTCAAATTTAACGGAGTTCAGACAAACTGCAGTCCGGATTCTAAAAAGCATTAAATTTTATTCCCTCCTCTCTTCTTCCTCTTCACCGCCACTACAACCAACCGTCGTCCCTC